GTTGTAGACCTGGGATATTTCAAACTGTGAATTCTGTTAGATTGAATAATCTAAGTTTGAAAATATCAATGGCGTATATAATCAGGTTGCAAAGATATAGGAATTAGAAAATTAGAGTTTGTGACAAAAACTCAATTCCTTGAAAATACATTCTCACAATATTCATTCTCATACGCATGTTATTGATCATCAAATTCATCACCAACCAATCTTTTTTTTTTAAATTAATGGTTTTCATTACCCTTTAAGTCGTCAAAACTAAACAAAAATAAAGCTTAAGAAGTTATTTGTGTGATGGATTTTCGACCTGGAATCAGAAAATAATGACATTATAATATCTCTAGCACTGACTTTAATTACTATTTTGATCTGTCTTTTCAAGATGGGTTAATGTGTTTTTTTTTCATTTTTTTCTCCATCATTAGTCTTATAGGATCCTGTTCTTATCATTTATTGTGTTTTTGGCCATCTTCTATCTGATTTTGCTGGTTAATTTTGAATTCTACCATAATGTAAAAAAATCACGATGAAAAATTTTTCGGAAAAAAAGGAAATAAAATCTTTGGAAAATAGTTCCAACTCTCTTAAGTCCTAGGACAAAATGTTACTGGAAACAAAGTCCCGAGTTTTAGATTCCTGGGACTTTTTTTCCTAAATTTTGAGACTTTATTTTCTAGGACTTTTTATTTCAAGGACTTTTTAAGTGCCAAAATTTAGACAAGTTTTACTATATATTCACAAACTTAGACCATTAGACTATCTTTTCAAAGTAACAGGATTATCCACAAAGAATGAGGCTTCAGAGACGACTGTACGGAAAATAAACTGTCTGTTTCCTTGTAATTAGGATTCTCTGCAACTGTGAATTTGTTTCTTTTTTTTGCCCAATCATTAAAAAGCCATACANAAGCAGCGTTCATTTTTGTTATCTGTTCGTCTTACTCAATTAAAATATATAATCAGCAAAAGCTGAATTGACCCTTTCAACATGTGAAAATTCTATAAATTGTGAAATTTTATTTATTTCAACAGTTAACACTGAAAAGTTTGGTTTATTAAACTTCTCAAGCTTGTGATGAACCTCGGAAAATTCAAAAGCTTAGATATTTCACAAACAGATCATTTAGGATCAGCGGCGTATACAAGGTTTTGTCCTAGGGGGTGTGGAGCTTAATATTTTAACTTTCCAAATACCCCCCCTGAAACCAACTATATTATGATCAATGATATGAAATTGATATCTTCGTTTTTCTAATAATTTCTCCATCATTTCTGCAGTAGGAAGCGCACAGAACACTTTTGTGAAATCCCAAAATAGTCGGGTTTCAAAAAGAGAATAGGGACATCAAAAACTTTAATTCTCTCTTGGAACTTTTTATTCGCCAATATCTGAATTAGTTTTTAATTTAATTTTTTTTAATGTTGTTTTTAATTTGAATTGCTTTTTTAAGGGGTTTGTTCTTTTCGCCTTTACCCGATCGATGAAAGATAAATTTCATATCCTTGTTTCTAAATATATATATATTTCATATCCTTGTTTCTAAATTTCAAATCTAATCCTTTGTTTTGCTGTAATAATAAATCATAACAGTCATTAACAAAACATTAAAAAAATGTAAAACTACTGCAGCAGGAGAGCTTTGATATAGCTGTGTCCGAATTTAATGAATTTACGCCGTGTCTAAAATCCCCCAAAAACCGGTTTCAATTGAGCACCGGCTTAAATCTTGAAAATTTGGATACATATTTAAGTGGAGTCAACAAAATTTAAACCTCGGCTCAAATTCTATAAATTCGGCCTCTGTTTTCATAAAGCTCTCATGTGAATGTGATCCTTAAGATATCAATAATGTTTTGAAAAAGGTTAGAGATGGCAATTGATAGAGTAGTGTCCGAATTTAATGAATTTGAGCCGCGGTCTAAATCTGGTTTCAATTGAGCGCCGGCTTAAATAGGAACCAACCATATTTGAGCCGCGGCTTAAATTTAAGCCGCCGCTCAAATTCTTTAAATTCGGCCTTAGGGCGGAAAACTGAATTGGTTGACAGACACAATCCAAGTAAATTACATCAAGAAATCATAGAGACATAAAACAATCATTCATAATTTCCGTTTAGGCTCCATTGAACAACACCAATTTCTATATATATATATATATATATATATACAGAACAATAAAAATTAAAATTCGTTTATGGTGATGGACCAAACCTATGTAGATTAAAAAAGTAGATGTTAGTTCCACATTTATTGAAAATATATATTTCGGTCTGGGTTGACCCTCGTCAGTTCTAACGAT